GTTATCAGTGATGGTATTTTCTTTAATTGCTCTGTTGCTAAATATTTCTAGCCTTGTGTTGTACCAATAAAACACCTGCTTGTGAGAAACACAGCTATTTAGCATTCCTACTGCAAAGATTCCCCTTTTGTTTTTTAAGCGGGCAGGAAGATTTTATGTATTATTAATTAATAAACTGAATTGATGGAAATAAATACTTGTAAAAAATAAACGGTGTTAAATGCACCACTTTGCGTTCCTGAAATAACACACCATTTCTGCTGCCACAAACTGCATACAAGGCATCAGATAGATGTTTAAAAAGACAAAAGACGTTCAGAATGTGTGTCTCGTCTTTTAGAAGCTAGGGCCACATGCGAAGAAAGAATAGCAGTTAGTCAAGCCAGAGAAGCATGACTGAATGCCAAAATAGTCAATTAAATTAGGTGCCTTCCCCCAAAAAAAAGCTGGAAAAAACAATGAAAAGAAAACTGATGTGGTAGCCCAGCATGTGAGGGAGAAGATTAGACATGGTGGAGCTCTGGAGGGACTGTCTTTTAATTGTGTGTGATGCCGTTCACCTTCAAAAACATCACACCCATGTTAATGGCCACTGAGTTTCTGGATGAGCCAGGTAAAGGGATTGCCTCCTGTGAGTGGGGGAGGAATTACCATGGCATTGTACCATCAGACCAGTGTGCGGCGTCAAAGGGATGTCTGGCATTAACAGGGCTCTCTGCTGATCATCGTGCCAAGCACAGCTTGTTACCGGAGCAACAAAGCCAAGAAAAATCAAGGGTGAAAGAGGCTTTTTGGAATGTTTTCCTTTCTATTTCCACGCTTTATCCTCTGTCACACCAGACAAAGTGCTGGGAGTATATCAGTCCTTACTGCAGTCTTTTGACGAATCCTGTGGTGAGAATGTCACACACTTAATCTGGGGAGGAGGGAGAGATACCTGCTTCCTTGTTACGGCCAAGTGTAGCCACTCCATGTGAAAGCAGTGCACTCTGAAGTCAATTGGCTTCTTGAGAGAGGGAGAGAGCATGCAAATGTTGTGGTTTCACTTCCTAATCTGAACCTCCATCACTGAATACAGCAAGCCTTTTGTAAACAGCTGCAAATTACTGTATATAAGCCATAATCATTCAGTGGCACACTGTTGTTTTCTGTTTTACTGCTCTTAATTGGATGATATACTCACAATATTCCTTATTAACACAGTGAGCGAGGGGCAGAGTAATGAGGTAGAAGTGTTTTATTTAGAAATCATATAAAATACGGTGACTGTCCCCCTTTGATACTGATTGAAGCTGACTGTCAATTAACTAATTAACATGAAGGAACAGGGATAACATTGCTTGCTATGCACTTTTTGTTAAAGCGACTGCCAATCAGTTGGGTTTGAATTCTGTTTCTTCGCCTGCACAAAGACACGGGGGTGAAAAGATGTAATACAAATCTGTAAAGGAATGTTAAAATAGGAATGTTAAAATGTTAAAAATTCTTTCTCCGAAAGGAATATTCAGGAAACTGGGTCCAGCTCTGACTCATTTAATTTAAGCCTCTCACTCCCTATGATTTTTTGCAATCAAAATTACTCTCAAGATACTTTTACAATTTATTTCTTGCTTGTGTTTACTATAGTACTGACATAATTAAAGTCAAATCCTTATGCACATGAATAACTCTGTTGAAGCCAATGAGATAACATATATAAGGAAGGCAAGCAAGATTAAACTCGGAAATTTTAGGAAAAATACAGTGGCATTTTGCAATAGCCATCACTACTACATTTAAAATTGCATTAGTGTTTCTATTATAAACCCCTTGCTTTAAGGGATTTATAACTCCAGAGGAAACACCTCATGGGTTGAGACTTGGCATATAGGTTTGTTGCTTGAGAGCTGTTTTAAAAAAACATGCATCATTTGCAGTTTACTCAAAATTCCTACTGATTTCATTAGAACCTTACAAATGTTTTTGTCTTTTAAACAGAAATGTCCTAGCTCATCAATTTATAATTTTGATTATCCTGTGAGTTCTAAAATATGTCCAACGATGCTAGGGACTAACGGGCCACTAGGTTGCATTGAGGAGTGATTTAAAAAAACAAAATCAAACAACCCCTTTATTTCATAGAGGTAAAATCCTGGCCCTATTGAAGTCAATGCGAGTTTTCCCATTGACTTCAATGGGTCAAGGATTTCATCCATAGTTTCTACTCCCATATGCTTCAGGGAAGTTATTTTCCCCTGTATAGTTCTTTGTTTAAGAATACTGTTAAAAAACAAAGGAAATTAATGCACAAAAATGTGACAACTAAAAAAAAGGATCTAAATTTTAAAGGACGATAGATATTTTGCTATAACCTAGGTGAAAAGAATTTGCATTTGTGAAGCATGTATTTATGCGTGAAGAGATGGAAAAAACAAACACTGTTGCTTTTCCACCAACATGCAAATGACTTATAACAACAAATCCTAGATGTTGGCAGCTGGTAAATCAGTGACTTGTTTCTCTGGAAAAGATCGAAGGAGCCAATGGTAGGCTTGCAGTGGAATCGGCTCATAAACCTGGCAAAGGCTGTGGGAAATGGTTTACTGTTTTGTTTTTAAACTTGCTGTGTTGACTTTAGGATGCATATTGTGAATATGCTGCTGTTAATGTGGAACTTAGGTATTGTTTACAACTACAGCAGGACTCTTAGTTTTGAGCCTAGTCATCTCTTACAATAGCTACAATGATGCATGTGGGCGGTCAACACTGAAAGAAAGTGTGCCCCTTCTCATTGATTCAGCCTTGGACATGCTAATTAATACTGTATGTAAAACTAACGATCATATCACTTATTTTGTTTTGGAAAAAAATATTGAATCATGCCTTTTTGTTTGCATAAGGTCTAATCCTGCACCCCTCAACTTAAAAGTGTTCTCAGTGATGCAATTCAAGGCTTTACTTTGCAAGTTTTACTTTCCCACCTGTATCTTTGTTCTCATTATTCTCAGAGACTGGAGTGAGTGTGGGGGTGGGGGTGGGGGTGTGTGTGGGGGGGTGTATTTTTTACACACACGCCCAAACACACGCCCAGTCACAGAGAGCCAGACTGGGTAGATATAGATTTAAGCTAAAGTTCACAAGCTTGGCTGATCCCCCCACTACTTCATGCTGGGGCTGCTCAGCACCTCCGAGAATAAGGCCACTTATTTATGTGACCACAATGTGGAGTTAGGAGTCTAGGGTTGTGTGTCTCACTGTGAAAAGTCTCAGCCTTAAATTGAAAACACAAAGCCTGTAAATGTTTTCTTTTATACTTGTTTTGGAAGTTACTTTCTTCATGTTAGCTCGGTGCCCGTCGTTGCCCGTGCGCCGAAGCGGCGTGGAGGGCGGTCCCAGCGACCGGGGCAGACTGCACGGGCGGGCAGCTCTTGCTGCTGTCATCATCTATCACCGTATACTAGAGCTGGTCAAAAAATGTCACGTTTCACAAAAACGTTGAAATTTTTTGGCTGTCTCAAAATTTCTAATTTTTCAACAAAAAATTAAAATAAAAAACCCCCTTTTTAGGTAGTTGCTATAAGTTATTTTCTTTCTTCCCCCACTTCCTCTCCCCCCTCCTTTTACTCTCCCCCCCTTCCATTTTGCCTTGGGAAAAGGGAGAGAAAGGAAGAGGAGGGGTACACACAATAATTGTGTGTGGGGGGGGGGGGGTTGGGTCAAAAATATAAAATCAAAGAATTTAGAAAAGAAAATGTCTATGAAAATGTTTGTTTGAAAGATGACCAATTTTGATTAAAAAATAAAAAATAAAAGTTTTTTGCACAAAAAAATGCTGGCCTGCTCTACGCTGCTGACACACAGTGACTCCTGCTGGGAAAGTTGTACAGGGATGGCCTCGGGCCCAGCCGCCCCTCACTCTCTTGCCCTCCCTAGCCTTTTGTATGACATGGGCAGAGGGCAGGCTGATGGGCAGCGCTGCTGTTGCTGGGGAGCAGACTGCAAACTGATACCTGGCTAGAGGTTTATTATTATTTGCTGACCTTCCATCATCTCCTGAGGCAGTTAGCGGGTGTCCAGTGCACTGAAGAGGCAGGGCTCTGTGCTGGCAGGCAGCCCCGCTGCTCAAGGCATCAGCATGCATGAGGAGAGCTCCGCCCCAGAAGCGAGGAGAGGGCCTAGGACACAACGACCATGCAGACAGATGCAAACAGTGTATTTATCTTTGAAAGCTCAGCTGCCAGTTTCCAGTGCAATTCCTTGTTATTACTCTTTGGCCTCCAGTGCCAACAAGACGTTAACTGACTCAGCCAGAATTACAGGACGAGAGTCAGTCACTCAGCCAGGATTACAAACTAGGCAACTCCGGTCTTGCTCATTACTTTAACCATTAGCCCACATCATTCCTTTCAAAGCGGTGAAGTTGCTTCATCTTTAACCCTGGCCATTGTAACTAGGTGCTGCATGGTTCTCAGATCAGAGCCTGAGCTCACATACTAATTTTCCAATAGCTATCGCAAGCTTCAAGGACAATCAGCATGTAATATGCTGGTGCTCATCAACGGGTATAAATAATTTAGACAATGAGGTAGTTGCTATAAGCTAATTTAATAATATCAAGTGGTTGGTAAGAGAGCAATTTACTCACTGCGCCCTTGCTTGGAATTTTTACTGGACATTTCTCCTTTTAACACGCAGTAGTTCACCACTGGTTTATATTGCCATTGTGCGTGCTCACTATCAAGTTCAGAGAGACCCTCACTGATCAGTAATTCTTCACTTTGAGTGTACTCATTGGGCAGCAAGATTTTATTATGCTTCTTTGAGTTGCTCCCTGCACCCTTTCATGGGTTTCAAATTGTATTACTCTGGTGTTCATATTTTTAGGGGGCTAGTGTTCCATAATTGGATGGGGAAGGGATGTCTTTTAACCATCTGAAAGGCAATGAATATCAAATCATCTTGTATTAACTGATGTGCAATTCAGCACTGCAGGTATTGATTGATCTGTTCCTTTCTTCCAGGAACATTTCACACCTGAATGCAAGTTCAAAGAATCAGTATTTGAAAACTACTATGTGACATATTCTTCAATGATCTACAGACAGCAACAGTCTGGCAGGGGTTGGTATCTGGGTCTTAACAAAGAAGGCGAAATTATGAAAGGAAACCACGTGAAGAAAAATAAACCCGCAGCACACTTTCTTCCAAAACCCTTAAAAGGTAATTTCTTCCGTTTTCCCAACTGCTATGACATGATGTTACATTATATCAGAAATATTTAATTGCAAAAAATACATTTTAAGTGTTGAACCATTTACATCATGGACATGTAACTTCCTGCAGCATACCATTAATGTAACTGGAGCTGCTTTTTCAGATTTGACTACATCCCGTGATATATAATTTGCTTCGGGTATTCAAATACATGTTAACCCAGTTCCCAGTATGTCCATTACAGTCCATAAAGATTTCACCTAGATAGTACAACTGGCAACCAGCAGAAAGATGTATCATGTCATGATTTCTTTTATGCTTCAGGCATGTTTATTAACTTGGTATAATATTCAGATGGTAACATTTTATCTCTACTACACAATTATTAAACGTATGGTACCAGCACCCAAACATTAAAAACAATGCATGTGAGATACAGATGATGCCTTGTCTTAGACCCCAGGTTTATTTGAGTAACCTCTTAAGGCAAATGCCATTTTGAAATCATAGAGATTATCTCCAAGATGCACAACCCTGGATGGAAAGACAGGTCATTTCAGCCTACGTCTAGTCTAGCTTTACAGTTTACATATTTAGGGCCAGATTCTCAGCAGAATCCAGTGCACTTACAAAACCACTGCATTTGTGTATTCAATAGAAAACTTAAAGGTTCATTTTTGTGGTCATTTACCTGGACCATGTGCACAAATGTTGGGTCAGATCCATTGAAGTCAATGGAGCTAGGCTGATTTATGCCCCGTGAAAATCTAGCTGACAGAATTTTGCAGAGAGAAAGTGGGCATGTGCATATTTTATTTTAATATTTTACCCCTTAATATGAACCTTTCAAATTCTCTTTTCATGAGTGTTTGCATGTAGAAAAAGAGAAATCTCCTAATGATCTTATCCATGTAGTGAATACATTTCTTTCACTACTCCTATGTTACTTATTGAATGAAAAGTTCTAATTAGCCCTTGAAATTGCATAGCCAAGAACAGAGGCAAAAGAAGTCGCATATAAGATGTGCTGATATGCTGCTATTTCTTTCTGATTTTCAGTGGCCATGTACAAAGAACCTTCTCTTCACGATCTCACAGAATTTTCAAGATCTGGAAGTGGGACCCCGACAAAAAGCAGAAGCGTTTCAGGAGTGTTAAATGGGGGGAAATCCATGAGTCAAAATGAATCAACGTAGCCAGGTTAAGGCAAGCCAAGTGCTCTGTAAATGGAACCTTACCTCTGGATGCCGTTGAATTCTTACTAGCAGTCTTTCATCCAAACCGTTCAATTGTTCAGGACAAGCCGCCGAACTTGCATAGGTCACTCGTTTATCAGCCATTAGATCTTCTGGTTGTCAAAGGATATATCCCAAATATGTAGAATATGCGTGTGCATATCACAAGGCACCTGGATAGCCAGCAAAACATAACTGTGGAATAAATCTCAGAGAAGAAATGTCCAGCTCTTTTTCCTCTCTCTCTTTCTCTCTCTAGTTTTCCACAAAGCATAGGAGAGAAAAAAACAAAAACATTTCTCAGCATTCACTGCTGATAAGAATTTGCTTTCCAACCAAGAAATAAAAAGACCACTTTTGCTCTTCAAAGGAAATTTTAATGCTTATATGTTTTATGGGGGCAAACAACAAAAATGTAAACTGTTCTTTTCTTGGCTTACTGTTTTATATCTAAGGCTTGATAACAAAGGTATCCTTTAATTTGGATTTGTGCAACTTTTTGATTTCTCAACTCCAATGGGCCTTTAAAGCTGTGTCTTTAAAAAAAAAAACAATAAATTCAGGGCTGGAACTGAGAGTCGGTGTCTCAGGCTCAAGCAAACAGTGTTCTTGTGATTTTAAACACACTGAAATATAAATTTTTATAGATTTGTAGCATTCTGGTAAAGTTCTTGTGCTGACCCCAGTCTGTAGGAATTGAGTTGTTTTGTTAACCCGAGTCAGTGGAAAATAACGTAAAGGGATAAAGTTATCCTCCAGTGTAGATTTATCTTAATTCCATTTTGTGTACCATGTTAAACTATTGTTGTGGCGTCTTTTCTAAAGACAGAAATTGTGGAATTAAGGTGACTTAATTTTTATAAGAAATGTCTTATTTGTAAAAGTCCTTCTTTCCCTGTAATGGGCACGTGATTCTTGTGTAGGAGGAAGTGTTAGGACAGGTTACCCCTAAACAACATATACTCAGACATGCTATTGGAAAAATTGTTTAAAAATTTAGTTAGGTTTCCATTTAGGTCATCATATCTGTTGCATGGGAGAAAGTTGGAATATTGGCATAGAGTTGCATGAGGTGTAAGATTTTGTGCATTAACCATCATTGGATTCTGTGCTCCAAACCTGACATAGTTCTGTACAAGCAGTTGTCTGCCTTGTACAAAAGAGTTGTTTATTATTTGTTGTATACACAATCATGCACTGAATAAACTATTTATATTAAGATGTACTTTTTTTAAAAAAAGCTTGCCGTTTTATTAGACAATGTACATTGCTGACTTTTACTTGGAGACACAGAACTGACAGTCAGATTCATGCAAATTATGATGTTACTAATATTATATATAACATTTTTTGGTTTGTAAACAGCTTTATGTGAAGCTGTTTACACCCCTGGAATACCATTCACAGTACAAATGAAAACCTGTCCTTCCATAGTGGAGCCCTTATTATAGGGTGACCAGATAGCAAACGTGAAAAATCGGGACAGAGGGTGGGGGGTAATAGGAGCCTATATAAGAAAAAGCCCCAAATATCGGGACTGTCCCTATAAAATCGGGACATCCGGTCACCGTACCTTCTTATATACCCAGCTGAGACTGCAAACAGCATGCTAATTACTTAACAAGTCTGATTTTCTCTAGAAGAACTTTTGAAGCCCTATGAAAATTTGGGTCATGGGGAAAATATAACTGGCCGAGACTTTAGATCTCAAAGCTACTCAAGTTGTCCCTTTATGGGGTGGTATTTTCATCATGTCCCTTTGATTTCTGTATCAAATTTATTCAGTTTACAAGCAAAAGGTATGTGGGGTTAAGTTCCAGTTCCACACATTCACCTTTGGCTTGCCTGCAGTCTGTCCCTCTCAACATAACCAGGGTTTGGCAGGCCAAATGTGTTGTCCCCAGCACCTGTGCAAACCCCATGGGCACTGTGAATACTAGACTTTTTTTCCCTAAAATGTCCCATCATTTTTACTACTGGTGTCACCAACAGTGGATACATTAATGTAGACCAGCCATCAGCATTTGAGTTACCGTGAGCATTTAAGCTACTGTGAGCATTTAAGCAACAACGGAAAGAGAAAGTTAAGATTTTGATTAGATTTGGGTGAAAAGGCAAAATCTGGAGGTAGAGAGAAAGAGAACAGAGAAGAAAGGGAGACTCTTACAGTTATCCATAAACTTTAGCTAGAAATTAGAGTAGCATACTAAGTTATCTGGTCTATCCTCTCCAGTAAAGATTTGTTCCCTACTAAGTAGTTTGGCTTATCCCAGCCAAGCCTCCAAACTGTTTGAGATGTGCTCTTCACTCATTCAGATATGTCTAGACGGAGTCCCTATGAGAACCATCCACTTTTGGATACATAAGGATCTCACTTACAGTAGGAGCTTCTGCAGAATGCTCTTCTATCAGTCATTATATCCTGTAGCACCAGCTGTGTGGTAAACACCAAGGACCAGATTTTCAAAGGTATTCGGGTGCTTAATGGGAGTCAGACACTCAACCTGCTTACACACTTTAGCAATAGACTCCTAGTGGGATTTTCAAGAGGGCCTTCCCTTCAACCCCTCCCCGATTCTTGTCACGCAGACTGAAAGCAGAAGACCAGAAGTCCGAAGTTCAGACTATGCAATGTTTATTGGGGTTAGTTCCAAGCAAGCATATCCATAGTGCTAATTGCTGGCAGAGTCTGTTTCCCAGTGTTCCATTCCCAGCTCTGACACTGCAGAGCCTGTTCTCCATTCCCACCTCCTCCTTTTTAGAAGGCCCCAAAATACCTGCAGTGCATGCTTCTGTCCCATCCCATCCCACTCCTTACAACTTATGGTCATGTTTTAGGGTTTTGGAGGGTCTTCATCCCACCCCTTTTGTACCCCATGGGAGGGGTAAGGAGTGCGGTTGTGCTGTGGCCAAGGAAAGTCTTTTCTTTGGCATTTAGTGTTTCTTATGCCTGCTCATCTCCACTTGCCCCTCCTAACTGCTTGCTTGACCTTGGCTTGAGAGAGGAGCAAGGCAGCCTTCTAGTGTGTGCTCATATATTACCTTTCCACCAAACCCTGTTCCAAAGAGTTTACAAGCTAAGGCCCCAATCTAACAAGTCCCAGGACAGCACACCCATAGGGTGTGCTGGGTACATCCTTGAGCTCAAGCTGTGTTGCCCCAAAGATATGTTCCTTGACAGAGCCACACACAGCTGGCTCTTAAAAGCACAACCTAGCACTACATACGACAAAGCTATGTTGACAATACCTAACGTCCTACAGAAATAATATATGCAAAAACTGTGACAAAAATGTAACTGGTGCACATGCTTAGAAACCATAGGAAACACCTTTTCTGTGTATATTTTTTAAACATTTTTTGCTAGGGATAGAAAAAGCTAAACTAAAGAGCATTAACAACCTGCATCAAGGTAAGCAATACATCTGATGAAGTGAGCTGTAGCTCACGAAAGCTCATGCTCAAATAAATTGGTTAGTCTCTAAGGTGCCACAAGTACTCCTTTTCTTTTTGCGAATACATCAGTAGTAACAGCTAAGCACATAGCCAGCTAAATTATATTCCTTAGTGTTAATATAGCTCCATAGCATCACCTTGAATTTAAAAAGTTAATCAAAATGAAGCTAAAAGACTACACCAATTCAGTGGTCTAGCATCAGGAAAATTCTCTTTCTATGTATAATTATTCAACAGACTCACCCCCTGAAAATGGCTATTCACACTCCAGTTTCTGGCATATGTAAAACTTTTCTAGCACTAAAAGTGTCCTATGTCATCAATCGGAATTTTCAGAAGGGCTCGGCCCCCCGCTTCCTCCCCAAAATAAGACCAGATTTTCAAAAGTGCTCAGCTCCTCATGTAGGGACCCAAATGAGGGGGTAGAGTTTCATAACACTCTTTTGAAAATCTGGCCCTAAATATTACAGTGGGAGCTGTGCACTTGAAAAATCTGGCACTGGGCTCATCTGAGCAAACCAGCCTTCAGGGTGAGAGTTTTAGAGCTGCCTCTGTGACTTGGGAACACAAGGCCCACGGAAAGTCAGTAACATCCATCACAATGTTGTTTTCCTCTCTGAACAGCTGACGCTGCAGATCTGCCTACTACTAAAAAGTGTGAGCTTGGATTATTTTCAGCTCATAAACCCTCTTAATTGGTAACAATGACAAAAAGCCATAAGAAGCTGTCTAGGCAGCTTTTGCTATGTCACTATTCTAAATGGCAGGCCTGAGATGTTTTCTGGTATCAGGTCGGGCCAAGATGGGAGAATGACACATTATTTTTCCCCAATGCTCCTTTTTGCAGGTGCAGAAGGAGTCAGCATTTGTGTAGTGTTAAATTTACCAGTAGTTTTTGTCTTCCTTTATGACCCCTATAAAACCCCAGCTCTCCCCTCACAGAGGGGTGACTAACATAAATGGTAACGAGTCTACGCCATGAGCTAAAGGTGTTAACTCCACTGCCTGACAGCAGAACCAGGCGCTTATCCCCTGTGGCTGGCATTTTTTCCAAAGCAGCCTAGGCCAGTTAGGTGCCTGACTCCAATTACAGATGAACAGGAGTGAAGTGCCTAGCTCCTTTAGGCTTGATTGAAAAATCCCACCCTATGTGGATTAACCCTCACAGGGGAGGACACAGGACAATTAACCAGTATGTTACACACACACCCCAGAAATGGGACTAACAAGACACGTGCTAATCTTTCCCCTCCTCCCACCCCGGCCCACTCAGGCACTTTGCTTGTTGTTTCAGCTCACCTCCCAATCTTTCATCTGGTTGTCTTCTACTTAGGGCATAGCTACACCTGCAGATGTAGAGCGCTTTGAGTTAAACCAGCCTTCCGAGAGCACTGCAGTAGGGAAAGCACTGCAGTCTGTCTATGCTGACAGCTGCAAGCGTACTGGCATGGCCACATTTGCAAGCTCTGGCCCTCTGAGCCCTGTCTAAATACTGATGATGCAGGTGGCGTTTTCAGTGGAATGCAGTGGGAATGGGGCACTTTTTAGCTCTCCATGAAAGCCACACCCATAAAATTTGCGCATGTGAAAGGTTTCACCCAAACAGTTCCTTAGATCCATCTTTTTACCCGGGGGTGGGAGTGTGTGGTTTCAAAAGCAGCTGTAATTTAGGAGCCTAAAGTCTATTTTCGCAAGTGACTTAGGCACTAAAGCCCATTGACTTGCAGTGAGATGTTGGCTACTAAGTCACCTGGGCACATTTCAAACTATTAGCCTAGATCAGTGGTTCTCAACCTATTTACCACTGTGGGCTACATATGCAGCTCTCGCTGTGTTATGGTGTCCACAGCCAAACCCTATATATACTATCTGTATGGCCCTGAGACTGTTACATGGGCCACAGCTATGTGCTGACTGGCCCGAGACCCACTGCCCTAGATGCTTTTACGTAACATTATAGTTATTGTCCCACAGTCATCTAAGAGCTGCTTCTTTATTTTAGAGAACATCCTTAACAAATGTACTTTGGGGCCAAATTTCAAAAATGACTAGCCCCAGGGGCCTCTGGACTGGATGCCTTCAGCTCAGACATGCACCGCCTCTGCAGTGTGATGTCTGGGTTTACTTCTGGTTGGAGGGGTTCAACTAAGCTGACCTGGGGAAGGACGTCAGTGGCTGAGGCTCACTCCAGCAGGGTAAAATTGTCCAACAAACACTGAGCGGATGACTTGCTGCCACCAAGGCCTCGTCTACACTAGCCCGATAATCCCCAGGATTCAGCAACGACCAACACTAGCAGCTGCGCTTGTACTAAGCTGTGGCTGTACTCAGCGATCGGGTGTTCGTTTCCAAAGCCTGCCCTGAGCCGAGTTTCCTGGCATGGTGGTTAACATCCCCACCCCGGAGGCATCTCTGTACTAGGGGCTCAGCTCTGGTGCAGACGCAGGACCGCAAGCAGTGTCCATTTTTCTAGGGCAGACGCCATCACTTCAGTCCCCCCTTCCTGCCGCTCACAGCGGACTATGCTAGCGTAAACCCGCTCTGCGCTTTCACACTGGGCTAACACGAGAGCGGCTTAAAATTTAATCACAAAATCTTGCATCTGAATAAAAAAAGAGGGTGGGGGAGCAGACATCGCAAATAAAGTGGAGATTATTGTTTTAATACTGTTTCTCAACCAGCTCGTTAGCACTTTCTGACCATGGACCGTATTTAAAACCAGTTCGATGGAGCCTTGGCTACATTAGGGAAATTTTGCCCCATGGCTCA